GGAATTGGTCCTGAAGACTCAATTTTTGTTAAAAAATCAGTTCTTTAAAATTTGATTTTCCAACAAGTTGTAAAATTTAATTTTTTTTAAAAAATAAATACAGTTTGCCAGCTTACTATTAAACGAGTCAATTCACCTGATTCATTTTGACTTAAAATCTATTTTTTGTAAAAAATTTAAACAATCAAAACTTTTAATACTTAGTCCGCTTTTAACACTTTTTTTTTATTTCATATATTTTTTTGAAATTTACAAAACTTAAAAAATTAAAGACTATTTAGCCTTAAGTTCTAAACGCTCAATTATTAATTGTAACCCTAAACACTAAGCACTTGTTTGGTTTACCCATTTTTTATTTTCATTTTCATTAAAAATAGAAAATAATATAGAAAATACATTTGACAGATTAATTTTTGTTTTCATTTTTTGAAAAGGTAAAAAAGTGAAAACAACAGAAAGTTGTATTCAGAATTTTCTATTTAAAAGGAAAACGTGATGGTGTACTTGTAATTATATGAAATTTTTTGTTTGATTTATCCATATGCTACTATTCACTTGTGTTTCCCCTCTTCTTCACAAGAAAACTTGCATCTTCACTCCGTCGACCAGCGAAGGCTCTTCGGGCAAATAGAGTATGACAAATAGAGCTCAACCATTGTCTTTGTTGAGCTCGTCCATCGGCTATGCGAACAGAGCACAATGGACAAAGCCTGTCCATCAACTTTATAAACAGAGTTTAATGATCGAGCTCTATTCTCCAATTGTCTATTGAGCTTTGAGCTTGTCGAACAACTCATTGTCTTCTTCCTGGTTTCATTTTCTTCCTCCTCAAAATTCATTGCTTGGATTTGCAATTTCTTTATGGTTTGGGCTTACACTCGTCGGACTACTATGTCTCTAAATTTCATGGTTTAAAATTGCAATTGCTTCAAATTGATTGAGAGTTCTGTAATTCAGATTACATAGAGTAAAATCGTGTAAAATTTTTTTGAAAAAAGCAAGAAATGTAACAAATCTAATTTGGGCCACGATTGGGTCTACCCAATTGTAACTTGTTTTAGGTTGGGGATGATATTATAACAATTTTGTGAAATTACCACTTGGTCCCTTATCTCTTTTTAATATGTTCACCAAATTTCTTAGGTTTCGTTTTTAAATTTTAAAATTTTTAATTTATTCAATTAAACTCCATAAAAAATCATAAACTTATAATTTCATTCAATTAAGTCCTTATTATCAATTTATTGAAAATGAGTTAACCAAACATATTTTCTTTATTTTCATTTTTTAAAAATAGAAAATGACAAATCACACTAAACATGTTTTCTAAATTTGAAAACCTTTAAATAAAAATCATTTTTCAAAAAATAAAAATAAAAAATAGAAAATGGAAAACATTTGCGCAAACCAAACACCACCTAGCCTTGTACACGGCGGGGGTGTAGCAAGTTTGATGGCGCCGCAAGTTGGAAAATGAGTGTGAAATAAGATGTCCTGCTTCTTGCTTGACAGAGACAAGTGAACATTAAAGAACAAAACATCAATTTCTTCTTCGCACAACACAAATGTCCTTGATGACGGTGGAACTACTCATTCTTTGGCTTAAAAACAAAAATTTCAATTCTTAATTCGTACAAATGTCCTTGATAAGGGTATAAGGATCGAACAACCCATTTTTTGGCTTGTGATGGAGAAAAGTTCGAAGTCTTTCTTTGTACAAATGTAGTCCTTCGTAAGGTCGAACCACTTATTCTCTGACTGGTTGAATAGCAAAAATTCAATTCCCTTCTTCATACTGATTTAAAAACTGGGTGAATATAAAAAATAAAATAAATAAAAAATCATAAAAAAACTAACTAGTGAATTATATTTTTTATATTGGATTAAACAAAAAAATTAAAAGTAAAAACTCAAAGAGAAGCAACTTTTTTGAGCATAACTAACCAGCATCTAAAATGGACAGGATGTTTAATATATTATGTGAAATAGAATTTGGTGAGTGTGACAATTAGTTTAAAATATTTAGGTTACTTACAATGTGATGAAATTTTTTTTGGCAAATGAGAATTTTGAAAAAAATGTGTTTAGTAAGTATTTCAAAATGAGAATTTTCATTTCTTCTATGAAATTAGAATTACATTAAATAAAAATCTAGATCCCATTATTAAAGTTATGAAATCACATGAATGTATAATTAATATATTACCCACTATTTTTTCTTATTAAATGATAAAATTATCCTACAAATATCAAAGATCACAGATATTTATACTATTATATTACATATAGGTTATCAAAATATAATATATATATATGTACATATATATATATATTATATTACATACATAATATATATATATATATATATATTATGTACATGGGATGTTTGTGCGTGTACATATCTAGGTGCGTTGGAAATAAAAACCTAAAATTAACATTCATAATACATTAAAAATTTAATTAATTTTTAAAGTTTTCTATTAAAGGATAATTTAATCTTTGAACAATTTTTTTATTTCTTTTATTATTTCTATTTTAACATTACCAAATATAATAATATATATAAATTTTTATTTTATAAGAGTGTATCAAATATACTCATAAGAATATTCATTATATTTTATTCTATTCTTATTTCTATTTTATCATATTACACACTATCTTAAATTTAATTATTTAGTAATAATTTTTAAGTTTTTTATATATTATTTTATCTTATATCCATAATCTGAAGTATAAATCTTGGTAACATTTTTCAAGATGTTCTTATGCGAAGCCACGGCACTCGTGATGAATATTGACTTATTTTGTCCTTTCCCACTTGTACGGAGAAGAGTGTACCTTCAAAAAGGTTCACTTGTACGGGAGTGATCGGATTGGAGATAAGATATAGGGTGATAAAAATATAACTAGATAAAATTTATCATAGGATAAATTTTATCATATATTTGGTTTAATAGATACTAAATAAGATAAAATTTTTGAAAAATAAGATAAAGTTGGTAATTTACCAAAAAGCCCTTAGATTTAAAAAAAAAAAAACTTATGCAAGCAAATCGAATCGCTCGATTGAGCCAGCCAGCCCTGTGGCTCGAATCGCCATCGTCGTCTTTAACCCGTGCGATCGGACCTTTTCCAGCCAGATCGCCTTCAACCTAGCCGACTGCCTATGTCGTCCTTGTCCCCATGCTCGTTCGTCCTGCGTCGTTCTGCTCAGGCCAGAAGCCGGCAGATGATTGCAATGTCGGGTCTTCAAATCAAGCAGACGATTGCGAGCCGCGTCGTCCTGCATCGGGCCAGAAGCCGTCGTCTTGCTCAGGCCAGAAGCCGTCGTCCTGCTCGGCCAGAAGAGAACCGGATTGTTCGTCCTGCGTCGTCATCATCCTGCTCGGGCCAAAAGCTGGCAAACGATTGCGATTGTAGTCGACGGTCAACGATTGCGAGCGTTTACACTCCTGGTCGGCAACAGATCTGGAGGCAAAAATTGTCAATGCATCAGGGGGGATAAATTTTATCCCTTGGAAGCTTAAGATACCGTATCCAAGAATTCGGATACTTATCTGTTTCCTAACTCTTCTCACGTCATCCGAACGCGTGATAAGATGATAATTTTATCCTTATCACGCATTCTCAGCCTAACCGATCGGCACCTACAATGCACAATAGGGCCCGACATATTACATGATGGGGTACTGTTTTGGCTACTGAAAACGACAAGCAAAAAGTTGGTATCAACTAACTGTGTTTTCTAACCCTTGGCTACAATTCAAATTGAAAAACAAAACCAATATGGACTCTAACTTCTTAAATTTGAATTTTCATAAATAATTAACCAAAAATAAAAATTTTGAACGTAATAGAAAACTTTTTTATATTTATTTCTATTAAATTTTCTCCTAATATAACAAATAGAAACGAAGTAGGTATGGATAATCTCTATGACTGTAGATATATATTCCAGTAGAAATGGGTTTAAAGGTTTTAAATGAGAATATATTTAGAGAATGAAAATTTCATTTTTTTTAATATTAGAAGTATACATATTTATTTTACAGTCTAAAATTAATTATATTTAAAATGCTATGATTACCACTCCCCAAAAGTATGTTTTTACAAATTCAAATATAGTTTTTATCTATCAATGCATAAGGGTGTTTTATTATTTATGTCACACTTATTAAATAAAAATAAAAAATTCAATTAAACATATGCTTAAATAGATTAAAATGAATGAGTTTATTTCTGTTACAAGTTATTGTATCAATTTAGCAAGTGGAGGTGGAGATGCTATAAAATACTCTCCGGGTAGATATTGATGTAGAAATATAATTGATGAAAATAGAGATTGATAATATACCCTTCTCCAATTTCATTCTATTTGCATTCCTTGAACAAAAGCTAACAGGTATCTTGGTCCAATCCTGAGCTACCTCCCTCCAAAAAAGTATATATTCCCCTATGTTATCTTAATTTTCCATGAACTTTTTGAGCTTGGTCCTTCAAAGTTCCTTGAATTTCAGCACGCAGTAGGACTTGTGGCTGCTTAATTGGATAAAGGATAAAATATAAATAATTCCCCGAAAGTATAATAGATTTTAAGCATAATATACGAATTTTAAAATCTTATAGTTCATTTTCTTGATATTTCAGAAAAAATGATATTGTAACTGTACTATACTATCAAAATTAATGGTTAGATGATGCACATATTACTCTTTCTTGCCAACAAGTGACAATTTTTTAAATAAAATAAAAATGACCCCTCTAAAATTATCATAAATTTTAATTTTAGTACATGAATTTCAAAATTTGATAAATTCACTCCAAATACTCAAATTCATTTTATCATATTGATAATAAAAAAATTTTAAAAATTTAGCCGTAAAATTTATATAGGAGACTTGGGTTGGGCCATAGAAGTCAACTTGGATAATTCGCCCACGTTATTCATATATGCCACCGGACCCTCTCCGCCAATAGACTAATATTATCATTCATACATGCCCGTGGGACCTCTCCAACCATAGATGTCTGCATATTGTAACCCAAAAAAAAAAAAAAAGAAAAAATAAATAAAACGTGCCTATAAAAACCTTGTCTCATGCTTCCATTTTCGTCATCGACACCACCAAAATATTAGAGAGATAAACCTTGTAACTCCTTTTTGAATTTTGAAGTGGTTCCTTATGGAGTCCTCACTCTCATCAATCCAAGCTCTAGTCAGCCAAATCAAGCAAGAGATCTTGTCGAACTTTAATCCTTCCTTGTTCATTTCCCCCTCGGCTTATGACACCGCATGGCTAGCCTTAGTCCCGTGCCCAAACAGTCCTAGGTCTCCCTTGTTCAAGGGCTGCCTGAACTGGGTACTAAAGAGCCAAAAAGAAGAAGGGTTTTGGGGAGGGGTCGGAGGAGATGGACTTCCTGCCATTGATAGCCTCCCTGCAACTCTTGCTTGCTTGATTGCAATAAAAAAATGGGGAGTTGGTGAACAAAACCTCAAGAAAGGTAAATTGTATGGATGCACTACTATAGTTATATAGTAATGCACATGCAAGATTACTAGATATATTCTAGTACATCTTGTATACAAAGATATATTATTGTGGTAACATTTGGAAGTTCGTCAACATTTCAAATATGTATACATCAAGAACCTTTTGTTTCTGTCTTGTCTTATATTATTATTTTCAAATTTGTGTATGCATGAGGCTTGAATTTGTTTATTGATTAATGTCAATTTTTGTATTAATTCTTTAGGTTTGGCATTTATCAATAGCTACTCGGAGATGCTTTTCAAGGTAAAAGACGATAAATTTCCTCGTTGGTTCGCTATTGTTTTCCCTGCAATGGTTGAACTTGCACTAGAAAATGGCCTAGAGATTGTATTTCCCAAGGGTTTAGAAGCGGTTCTATCCAATATTTCCCTCGAGAGGCAACGAATTCTTCAAACGTACTTCTCTAAATCTTTAATGTTATTCTCTTTACAACTCATTTTTTTACAAATAGATCAAAACCATAGCTTGCAAAATGGATTTGCAGGGAGGAACTCGTAGACAACTACCAATTTGCTCCTTTATTGGCTTATTTGGAGGCTTTGCCTTTCTCTTGTCCTGTTCACGAAGAAGACATTGAAAGGAACTTAAGTGAAGACGGCTCCTTGTTCCAATCGCCCTCAGCCACAGCTCGTGCATTTCTAGCAACGGGAAACCTAAAATGCTTGGACTACTTAAAAACACTTGTTGCAAAGCATCCAAATGGAGGTAGAACACCATCTTATTTAATTTTTTTTGAATCTTTTTAAGAAATTGTGGAGGCTTATTGGCAGAAGCCAAGTCCTGCTGCCACGTCTGTTATATTGCCACCTATATACGCTTACGTGAATAGTTAACAGTTCCCTTCCTTGACATCTCCGTTCTTCAAACTCATAGTTTTTTTTTTTTTTTGGTATAATATATTGATTTTATTTTTTTCATATTTTTTTTTGCGAATTAGCTTTTTTTACTTTTTTATTTCAAAATAATAATTTGGTATTACAATTATTCTTAAAAGAAAGTTTTTATTGAGGATAAGAATTAATATTAAATTAATAAATTATCTAAATTAAATGGAATTTGACGCTAACAAAGCATCACAAAAAATCTATATTTTCTTTTTGCAATACTTAAGAATAATCAAGTAATATGTGTGTGTGTGTGCGTGCGTGTGTGTGTGTGTGTGTTAAATGATAATATCCAATATCCAATGGAACAAAAAAAAATCTTATTATATGTAATTGTTATGTGACCCATAAACTGAAAACAAAATATATGAAAATTTTCCCAAAACAATATATATTCATTGAAATATCAAACTATTATTTTGAATAAAGAAAAACTAAAAAAATGATTTTCACAAAAAAAAATTAACATAAAAAATCAATAAATTAAACAAAAAAGGAATGAGTACAAATAATGGGATAGAAGATGCCACCGTTAACTCCTCGTATATATCAGACGTGATGGTAGACAGAAGCCAAGCTTTTTCCTTATAAAGAGACATGTACTTGTAGAAATAATAAACTGTTATGTCTTGAATTTACAATTAGGGTAGCATGTAGGTTGATTTTACTTGTGCATGTAGGTTGACGCTCAGCCGATTCACGTAGAAGTCTAATCTCTAATTTATTTTTATTTGATCTCCTATCTGTGTGTGTGTATAAACATAAAGTTTGATTTTTGGTTCAGTCCCAGCAATGTATCCAATAGATGAAGAGCTTGTAAGCCTATGCATGGTTAACCAAGTCCAAAGATTAGGGTTGGCGGAGCATTTTACCAAAGAGATCGGTGAAATTCTAGAACAAATTTACAGGTAATGTATAAAATATGATACTTAAATATTATTTATAGGTAATGTATAAAATATGATACTTAAATATTATTTATAATTTTGACTATTTGCTTCCAATATTTGGGATCTATTTTTGACTTCAAATTCTCAACTATATAAATGTATAGATCTTACAAGGAGCAAGAAAAAGAAGCAACAACGTTTAACCTAGCAATAACAAAGATATACAAGGACTCTCTAGCATTTCGGCTCCTCCGGATGCATGGATATAATGTAACCTCAAGTATGCTCACCTGACATCTAGACCCTTTCCTACTAAGATTTTATTTGAAACATATTTTTTAGTCACTTAAAGATTTTTCATGTGCAGGAAGCTTTTGTTGGTTTTTGTATCATGAAGAGATTGTTGCTCATATGGAGAGAAATTATGAATATTTTACAAGTGTATTGTATAATGTGTATAGAGCTACAGACCTAATGTTTTCAGGAGAAGGCGAACTAGAGGAGGCAAGATTATTCTCAAGAAAGTTGCTTGAAAAATCTTTGAAGCTCACCAATATAAATGATAATGTGATTATGTTTGCAAATTTTCAGAAGATCGTAAGTAATCCAATATTTTTCTAGACATACAAATTTATTTTCTTTGCTTGATTTTAATAATAATAATAATAATAATAGCCTTTTTGTGATTGATAAAAATTAATTAACACGGATGATTAGATAAACTTACACCTCTTTTAAATTTAAAAACATACCAATGATGTTTATCATATAGCACAATATTAGTAACATATAAATAATTTGTGCCCACCATGTTTTTCCCCTTTCCTCGAATAGTCCATCACCTTCTTGGAACCAAACAATAAAATGAAAATATTGCTATTTCTTTTCTCTATTTTTTATTTTCCAAAAAAGGCACACAAATATTATTTTTTTTAAATTTTTAAAGTAGATAGGAAGGAGTGTTATTCCAAGCATGCTAATCCGATCTCCTGAGACTACAAATGCAGATTGACCACGAGTTGAGTATTCCATGGATTGCTAGACTTGATCATCTTGATCACAGGATGTGGATTGAAGAAAATCAAGTTGACACCCTATGGATAGCAAAAGCCACTTTCTACAGGTAAGATTCAATTAAATCCAAGCATGGTGAAAATATATACCTATATCATAATAATAAAACTAATTATTTTTAGAAAATTTGAAAAATATTAGGATCTCATGTCTACAAAATCACAAGCTAATGCAACTTGCTGTGGAGAATTTCGAGTTTCGGCAATCAATTTACCGGAAGGAATTGGAGGAACTTAACAGGTAACTAAGATTGATTTTCAAGCACATCCATATTTTTCAAGAACTAAGTAAAATGGCTCATAATTTGTAACAATTTTTGCATTTATAGATGGTCCAAGGACTTGGGACTTAGTGAGATGGGATTTGGCCGGGAGAAGACAACCTACTGCTACTATGCAGTGGCCTGCAGCACTTCTGTCCCCCATGATTCTGTTGCCCGGTTGATTGTTGCAAAGAGCGCCATACTTGTGACAGTTGCTGACGATTTCTATGACATGGAAGGCTCCTTGGAGGAGCTACAAACCTTGACTCAAGCCGTTCAAAGGTTTAATTGATTCAATACCGTCCCAGCTATTATAAAACATATTCTTTTATTAGAACTTTATTATGTCACCCTCTAACTTCCTTAATTTTATTAATAGGTGGGATGGGAGAGGATTAACTGGCCATGGCAAGGTTATCTTCCTTGGCCTTGATAATCTTGTTCGTGGAGTCGCTACCAAGTACCTCCATCGACAAGGAATTGATATTACAGAAAAACTTCAAAATATGGTAATAAGTTAAGGGCATTTTTTTTGTATATTACATATTTGTTTAATTATGATATATTATTAAAAGTTTGTTTCTTATATCCAAGTGGAGGGAAACATTTGTTTCATGGCTGATGGAGACAACATGGAGCAAGAGCGAGTATATACCATCCATGGAAGAATACCTTGAAATAGGCATGACATCTATTGCCGTACACGCTATCATTCTTCCAGCATCATGCTTCCTAAGTACAAGCTCTCCAAGCTATGAGCTCAAGACATCTCCATACGAGACAATCACTAAGTTACTTATGGTTTCAACTCGCTTATTAAACGATATCCAAAGTTATGAGGTGACAATTTAGCTACTCATTTGGGTTTAGACATTTTGGGGGGAAAATTTTCTTAATTGGGTCAATCTGAAGTTTTACACTAGATTTTGTCTTGTTAAAAGTATAAAAATCTTTTGAAAAAATTGCAGTGAAAAAAAAGACTCTTTTGTGCTACAATTATCATTTTAAGTTCTTTAACTTGGCTTAATTATGCAGAAGGAGATTGAAGTTGGAAGGAAGAATCTTGTCATGCTGCACCAGATAGAAAATTCACGGGTCGGAATTGAAAATTCAATTTCATATGTACGGGATATATTGAATAGCAAGAAGAAAGAACTGCTCGAGCATGCTTTGATAGATGACTTGGGAGATCTTTCCAAGTCATTCAGGCATTTCCATCTATCATGCCTACGAGTTTTCCAAATGTTCTTCAATTCGAGCAACGTTTTTGACTCGGCCACTGATCTCCTTCATGACATCAAGAGAGCCATATACATGCCTCTAGAGTACAACATTTCAAAACCCCTCAACCCTTTGAAACAATACCCTAGCCAGCCGGTCGAGAAGGGGAGCTATAAAATCCAAGCTTGTGTCATCAAAGCCATCAATTATAAAAGCAAAAGGAGCATAATTAGGCAGCAATTTTCAATAAGCAGTAGTTTAAGACTTGGCTGTCAGAAGGTGGTAACTCCAATGAAACCCAACTTCCGCTTCATATGAATAAGTCCATTTCTAGACTTCCCTGCCCCCTCTGCTGTAATTTCCCATTTATCTAGTAGCTTGCTGAAATATCAGAAATAAAGTGGAAGGGGACTTCTCAGTGCAAGATTTCTTATTTTTAATTTTATGGTTATCTGAGACTCTATATATAGATGGAGATACTTAATAATAACTTGGAGACAATTTTCATTTTAATTAATGAAATGGATGTGCCTATTTCACATATTACAAACTATTCATTAGGCTGATACTTGCTGATAATTTTCAGCACATTCACAATGAGTAAAAACAGTTTTTCTTCAGAAAAGCTCTCGACATACTTAAGACGACTAAAAACTCTCTGGTCCAAGATATTGATGGCAACCTCAGATGGATTGTGTCCTTTGTCATCCCCATTGATAGGCGTGGTCTTCTGTGGAGCATTGTCTATTTTATTTTTGGAAAGAATGGATGAATACGCCGCTTTCATGGCCTGTTTCTTCCAAATTGTCAATTGCTTGTTTACATGTCACATTTGCTTCCTTCCTTTCATTTTTGGAAATTAAGGAAAATACAATTAATCGAAACTTCCTATCATAATATATTTCTTTTTCAAAATAATAAATATAAATTTTAATTTGACAAGTTAAGAAATTTGGAAAAAGAGAAATGAAAGGGCATGTAGAAATGTAGATAACCATATTTGTTCACCTGACAAAAGTTTATACGGTCATCTCTTAAGTTCAAAATTTTTTAAAAAAAATTAGAGACAAAAATTCAAAAAATTAAAAAATTTATAATTTTTTAAACAAAAAAATTTAAAAGTATATTTGTTATCCCAAAAAGAAAGATTACAAACTCAATTTATGATAGGGTGGGGACATGGACGCCTGGACCCACTATCTTATCTTGTCATTTTTGGGATGACTTTTGCTCGCCCAAAACGCCAAGTAAAAAAGCAAATAAGGTCAAATCATATTTTCAGAATTTGGTTTTTGGAAAAAATAATAAAAATTAAAATATTTTAAAAAATATTAAATAAGTATTGTAAAAAATTTAAAAATAAATTAAAATTTATTTTTTTCTTAATCTATTTTCATCATGCTATATAATTAGATGACAACATTCATTTATTTTCTCCAAATTCACTTTAAATCTAATTTTTCCAAATTTATTTTATTGAAAATTGATTTTTAAACCTACTTTTTCAAATCTATTTTTTAAAAATTTATTTAGTTTAAAATTATTTTTAAACCTAATTTTTATCAAATATGTGGTAAACGTTGTAATTGCTAAAGGTTCCAACTTTTTTAACTTTTTAATTTTGAAAAACAAGAGTACAAGTTAGAGCTTAAAACAGAACGTTGACATGTTCTATTTGTCTTTTTCCTTGGTTGACATGTTTTATTTGTCTTTTTCTTGTGAGTAGAAATGTTAAATGACTGAAAGGCCGCGAGAGTATGTAAACCTCACCCACAATGTCCTGAAAAGCATAAATTCAAAGTTCCACTTCATAGGGGCAATTTGGAATAAGTAACGAGCTTAAAAAATCAGAAAAAAAGATAAAAGTGGATTGCCTGCCAGCCAGCATCTCCTCCCCCTATATGCAGAATCCACACTGTCTGTAGATGAGAGACAAATCGGTACTACTTCTTCTGCTGCAACGATAATGCATTGCTGTTGGTGTCGATAGCAAAATCTTCTCAAGTGACTGCAGCGAGCCCTGTCTTCAGCCAAGCATAGAGACGAAGAAGTCGATAAAAAGAACAGGTCGAAATAGTTGGGAGAGAAGTCGTATTGAAAAGACAAGAAAAATGTCTAAGGACAAAAATGTCAAAAATTGTTGTATAATAACTTCTATATAATAACAAATATATCACTAAAGTTAAAATTATTACTTTACTAGTTCTAGAACTTCTGTTTTTATCTGCTTAATTTAAAATAAACCAAAATTAAAAGTAGAATTTTATAATGCCCCAATTTAGGGGTTAATTGAAAATTTAAAAATTTTGGAGGACTAATTAAAAAAAAGAGAACGTTTAGCAGCCTAATTAAAAAGTTAGATGGCACAATTAAACTAATTCAAACCTTTTGGGATCCAAATAGAATTAGGGACCAAATCACATGTGATCGGGACTTGAGGGACCAAATCGCAAACAAGCAAAATGGATTCAGTCCTCTTTAACCTCCAGATCTCGCATAGCCATGGATGCGATTACAAGGAATTCAGAGATAAATTGATTCAATTATTGGGTACAAATAAGTTTAACCACGCAAAGGAGATTTAGCCCTAATTCAATTTGAGCTCTAGTCCCTTAAATCACCGTTGAAAACTGATTGAATTTAAATAAAATTTTAAAATTTAAGTCAATCTGATAAGATAAACTAACCAATTATTTAAAAATGGCAAGGAAATGTACAAAGTTAGAGGACTGAATTCCAACTAATTATAAAATTTAGAGGACTAATTTGAACAAAATAAACATAATTTTAGGGTTTGATAGCAATATGTGTCGGCGTGAAAAAACATGGGGTTGGCTATTCCCCCCATGATCCGTCTGTTTCCTGCATCCTTTTTTTTCTTTTCTGGGCCCAACAGAAAGAGAATCAAGTCGTTGCCAACGTGGCCGCCAAAGCGGTTAGCATGTTCTACTTGGCTTTTTCCTTTGAGTAGAAAAGAAATGTTGACTGACAAAGGCCCCCCAGAGTTTATTAACCACTCACGTGCGTACACAAAGTCCTGAAAAATATAAATTTAAAGTTGACGGATACATGATATGTTAAAATAATTTTTAATTAAAAGAAATAAAAGTAAAAATACAGAATAAGAATTAGATAAAATCAAAATTTTTATGAGATAAAATAAAGATTTCTATTTTATCACTATACTTATTATATTAAAATAAAAGTAAAAAAATAAAAAATATTTAAAAATAAAAATACTCTTAATTAAGTTGCCTACATATTCCTTTTTAAAGATGTTTAAAACTAACTCAAGCATATTGAATCAATCCAATCTAAACTGAACTAATCAAAATAAAAAAAAATTCAGTTTAATTCAATTTTTAAAATATTAAAATCAACCAGTTCAGTTTATATATCGATTTTTTTTAAAAAAAAAATGACTAAATTAAACTGATTACATATATATAAAATTTTATTTTATTTAATATAACATATATATTAAATAATATATATTGTTTAATATAAATAAAATAATTTATTTAATAATATATATAAAGTTAAAAATAATTATATTTAGAATATTTGATATTAAAAATTCTTGATATTATAAAAATTAAAATAATTTTGTGGTGTCTTTAATGAATTTTTTTCTTTTTTCAATAAATAAAATTTAATTAATTTTATGTTAAAAAGTATTTCTAAAACCAAACTAAATTAATCTAAACATGTCTATTTAGTTTAATTTTATATTTTAAAAATTAATTATATTTAAAATTATTTAAAAATTAATATACCCAATTTAATTTAGATAATACTTAAAATTAAATCCAACCAAACTCAACCGAAGATGTGAAGGCGGCTACCCCTTTTTTCTTTTCTGGCCCAACGGAGGAAGATTTGAGACATTGCCAAAGTGGTTAACGTTTACTAGACCTTTTTTTTTAGCATGTGTCTACTGACAAAGCCCACGCCACCCCCCCCCCCCCCCCCGGGGGGAATTTATCAACCACTAACGTCCGTACACAATGTCCTGAAAAGCATAAATTCAAAGTTCCATTTCATACTGAGAAATTGGGTGGTCGATTTGACCGGAGTTTTGAGCACTACAACCTTGAATTATTGTAATTTTGTTTTATAGAAAAATATTGTCTTTCCTTTTAATTGTTAAAAAAGGGTATATGTAAATGTCAAAAAAATAAAAGATAAGTGTTTTCAAATTTTGACCATTTCTCTATTTTTATATTAATACTGAAAGCAAAATATAAAAATTAAAAGGAGTCTTAAAAAATTAATAAAATTGGATTTTCAAAAAACTAACTTTTGAGTAATTTTCTTGAGTTTTCAGCCTTTTTCTATGCGGAACTACGTGTTAAAAGTAAAAGAGTTAAATTATAACTTAGGAATACCAATTTTTTTTAATAAAATGAAATATCTTTCAAAAACACAAAATAGAATGAACGTTTAATTCATTGGGGAAAATTTTTGATCAACTAGAAATCTCTTATTAATAATAACTCGACAACCAATTATCTAACAATTTAAAATTTTTGAAGCCTTAGTATTATTTTAGATATAATTATTAAAAATTTTATATCTTAATATTACATTATTTTCTTAAAGAAAAAGCTAAAAAATGAGAATGGCCCTTAAACTTTCAGCAAATGATTAATTTACTCCCTCTATTCTTAATACGATCAATTGAGCACTTATACTCTTATCAGAAATAATAATTAAGTGATAAAGCTAATTTTATTAACAATTATGCTGAGGGTGATACATTTTACTATATGTTTGGATTAATTAGTAATAATGACATGATCTTAACACTAAAAAATAAAAAAAGAATGTATTATAGTTAAACAAATTAAAATTAAATAAAAAAATTAAGATGTTAGATTCATAAGAAATGGTTAAACTAAAAAAAAAAAGAAGAAAGATACTGAGGTGGCATATGAAATATCCTTAATTCTAAAAAATAGAAACATATGTAATTGTTAAATGGGTTTAACTTAAATAAAAAATTAAAGGGTTAAAGTTAAATAAAAATTATTAAATTAAAAAATATATCCAATTAAATTTTAATAATGATAATAGACACAGTTAAATAATTTGTTATTATCAACTAATTTGAAAAGATAATAAAATATGTCATATGGTTATGGTTAATAGAATTAGCAGTGGATTTAATTATTTCTTTCGATCATGTAAAAAGTAAGAGCATAAGGAATAATCATATTAAGAATAGAGAAGGCATATTAATAAGTAATGATACGGCGGAATTTTAGGAGATTTGGATTTAATTTGAGTTGGCATTTGAATTTAGATTTGATTTTGAT